GGGTTTGATAACTGATAGAGGGGTTTCAAAAATTTACCGTTATAAACTTTAGAATTATTGATCATGTTATTGATCAACTGATGATCAATCACATGTTCGATAAATATGAAGAACACACAAGAACACAGAATAGAATTATCGATCAAGTTATCGATCAAGTAATTATCGAACATGTTATCAATAAAATTAGTAACAGAAATGCGTACCTGGTCTTGTTTATCGATCATTTGATTGATAATCTATTTATTGATCAGCTTATCGATTAACGCTTACCAATTCTGAGAGAAGTATCTCAAAACCTTGAGACTACTGATCGATGTTCTGATCGATAATGCATTTATCGATCAGCTTATCGATAATCATCGTGCTGGAATACTTTCTTTCTTCCACAAGCTGGATTTATCAATCAGGTGATCGATAAATTGTTTCCTCTTGTCTTCTTAATTATCAATCATTTGTTTGATAATTGCATACTCTGTCTACCTCTGTTTTTCTTTGACAAAACAGAGCTTCCTGCAAAACAAATTTCTATCTACTCTGATGCTTAAGTTAGTTATCTAATCATCAAAACATTGAATTTAAATATTGAAATTTAAGAAATAATGTGAGATTTCTTACAACTCATTGGGATTTACCATTCCTAATTCTCTTCGAAAGAAGTTGAACTTCTGTTGAGCTAGAGGTTTCATGAAGATGTCGGCTATTTGATATTCAGTGAGGATGAACTCAACCTTTACATCTTTCTTTTGAACATGGTCCCGAATAAAGTGATGTCGAACATCGATATGTTTAGTTCGGGAATGATGAACTGGATTCTTGGACAGACTTATTGTGCTTGTGTTATCACATAGGATTGGAATCTCTCGAAAGTTGATTCCTAAATCCTGTAGTTGTTGCTTTAACCATAAGATCTGAGCACAACAGCAGGCATTGGCTACATATTCTGATTTAGTTGAGGAGATTGCCACCGTATTCTGCTTTTTACTTGACCATGAGACAAGACATCCTCCGAAAAATTGACATTGTCCACTGGTGCTTTTTTTGTCCGTCTTATATCCCCCATGATCTGCATCTGAGTATCCCATTAGATATTCTGCTCCCCTTTTTGGATACCAGATTCCTAAATTCTGAGTTCCTACAAGATATCTGAGAATTCTCTTGACAGCTTCTTCATGTGACTTTTTTGGAGCTGATTGATATCTTGCGCACATTCCCACACTGAATTGAATATCTGGTCTACTAGCAGTGAGATATAGTAATGAGCCGATCATTCCTTTGTATCTAGTCAGATTCACATCTTTGCTGTCTTCGTTTGCATCAAGTGAGATGGTTGAGCTCATAGGAGTCTTTACACTTTTGGCATGCTCCAGCCCATATTTCTTTAATAACTCCTTCAAATATTTCGTCTGGGATATAAATATCCCGTCTTTCTTCTGCTTGATTTGTAATCCTAGAAAGAAATTTAGCTCTCCCATCATTGACATTTCGAACTCTCCTTGCATTAACTTAGCAAACTCTTGGCAAAGATCTTCATTAGTAGCATCGAAAATAATGTCGTCCACATAAATTTGAACAATCAAAAGATCTTTCTTCTTTCTTTTAATAAAAAGTGTGGCATCTACTTTGCCTCGTTCAAATCCTTTTTCTATCAGAAAATTGCTAAGGGTATGTTTGGATCTCCATTTTGAGATCCAAACGTGCCTTGGAAATTGTAATAAGTCAGTTGGGGGCATTCTGAGAGTAAACTGATTGTTTGGATAGGTAGCTTTTCAACCTGACTTCTGAAAAAAAGCTCCTTATTTCTCAACGCTCCCAGAAGCAACTTTTCAACCGTTTCAAAATGCATTACCGTTAAATTAATGAATATTAATTTCTCTAACCTATCCTACCGGACCCAGCTGCCTCTCTCAAAGCTTCACCATTCCAACCTCAGAGCTCTACCGGACCCAACGCAAAACACTCTGATCCCTCACTCTCGGCACTCGCCTATCTCTACCCGATGGAGCTGAGAAGGCGTACGTAGCATTCGACCGTGTTTCAACTCCCTCACTCTCGGCACTCTCTCTTCGGTGCTTTTGCCGGCGTCTCCGTCCATCGATCTCGGCTGTGTCTCCATCTGTCAGTCTCTCTGGCGCCTCTGTCCGTGGGTGTTGACGGCTCTGCTCCCTGGGTGTGGCTGCGTCTCTATCCGTCGGTCTCTCTGCCGTCTCTGTCTGTGGGTGTCGACGGCTTCGCTCTCTCCTCCGCTGAAGGTTGTTCGTGCCATCACTGGTGTGTTTTTCTTCTCTTCCCTGTTCAGCTCTCAGCTCCCTCCACCGCTGAAGGCTTCGTTTTTTTCTTCCTTCTCTGATTGTTGATTGTAGATGCTGTTTGAATATGTGCACTCCCTTAAGCTGTTACTCCTTCTTCGTGCTAAATCGGTTTATGTGTGCATATGTGTGAATGTGAACTGAATGGCTGTAATTAATGGTGTATGGTGTTGGTTTATGGTGCAAGATTTATGGACGTGTGAATGCTGTTTTGACCAAAGCATATGGGTTTTTTCGCTCCTCTTTTTGTTGATCGGAGAATTTCATTTTGTTGACCGAAGCATATCAGAGTTAATGAATGAATGAATTAAAGTGATGGGAAGATGGGGACGAATGAATGTGTGAAGCAAGGGGGCAAAAGAAATTATACATTTGTTGAAATTGCCTTAGTTGTCTGCATTGAACAATAGTTTGGCCTTATTTTTGTTAGATATTATGTTATATTGCGTGGTTGGAATTTTTGAGTTAAAGGAAAAGAGTATTTTTAGTGCTATGGGCTTTATGTATCATGATTGAGAATGGGTGGTGTAATTGTGTGCTGAATCCAAATATCGATAAGTTCCTATTTTTCTGCATGTTTGTAACGTAAGGCAGAGCTTGAATTAATTCACTTTTTGTGATTTGATTTACATATATTGTGGGTCTATACTGTTTGATTATACTGCTTGATTCTTGAGTAATTGTGGGTTTGATATATATGTAATTTCAACAAGAACTATGAGTAACGATAAAGGCAAAGCACATTAGGATGTGAGCACCACAGGTATGTTTCTGAAAATATGTGTTGATCAGATTTATAACAAGCTTTGTCAAGGATCTTCATTTACAAAACCAGGTTGGGACAATATTCATAGAGAATTCAATGAAAAGACAGGGAGAGGATATGAAAAAAAATAGCTGAAAAATAGATTAGATAACTTGAGGAAAGAGTGGAAGACATTTGATAAACCAATTGCTAATGAGATCGGCATAGGGTGGGACCCTGAAAGGAACACGGTGGTGGCATCTGATGAGTGGTGGGAGAGGAAATTACGGGTATGAAGTAGCTTATGTTAATTTATAAGTAGTATTATACTTTTGGAATCAATTTAACTATAGTTTACTTTTGACTTTGCAGAAAAATCCAGCATATGAAAAGTTTAGGCACTATGGGTTAAGGTTTCGCACTGAATTGGAAACTATATTCAAGGACACTATGGTATCAGGAGATGATATGTAGGCACCATCTTGGACCGAGCCTGCACCACAGAGGGGTGATCAGCCAAATGACTACCAACCAACAATGGATTGGCAAGAAGGTTCAGGGGATAGTGAAGAAGACACTGGATGCCGTGCAGGAGTTTCGGACTTTTTGGATGGCATCAATTTAACTACAAACACATCAAACACTGCACCCACTGTACCTAGTGCTTCAAGGAGTCAAGGGAAGAGGAAGAGAGGTGAAGGGTTGGACAAGTACAAGAAGCAAAAGATGCCAGCGACAAGAAGAATAGCAGATTCAGTAAGTTCGATTGAGAAGGCTTCAATTAGTACAGCAGAGGCAATAAACAAAATCTGCAACAGTGATAACACTACTGAGCTTACTGCTGATCTACTGAGTATGCCTGAAATAGTCAGTGACTTACAACTTTGTGTGACATGTTGTAATCTGTTGGCTAACAAGACATTCAGGGACATATATGCTGGTCTGAGAGAAAATCGGGAGGTATTAATAGCTTGGTTGAAGCACAATGCTGCGAACCCCCCGCCATATGCTGCACCAAAGAATCCTTGAGTTGTGCCTAGTGACTTGTTATGATTTCTGTTTATCTATCATAATGTATTTGGTTATTGTGTGTCATGACGATGTGTTTAATGGTTGTGTGTTTAATGACTCTGTGTAATGTTGTGTGTTTTATGACTATGTTTAATGTTGTGTTTCATGACTATGTATAATTATTATGTTATAGTTTAATAGCTATTTATCACTTATCTTTTCTCTCTCTCTCTCTCTCTCTCTCTCTCTTTTGTGAAAATGTTACTCACATTTAGTATTTAACTACTCACAGGTAACATAATCCATATCTGATTCAACGGCGGGTTGGGGCGACGAATGGTCTCAATTACTTCCTACTTTACATGAACACACAACACAGGTATCACAGCTAAGTGTGTTAATGGGTCAGTATGTGACACCTTTTCTATGCAAATAGCCATACAGAACTAGTGAACAAACGGGTTATTTATAGGTTCAAGAACTTTTGCATGGGCATGAAGGACGGTCTAAGAAAATGTTTCGAATGGAAACAGAGACATTCCATCGATTATGTTCTAAATTGGTTGAACATGGGTTGCAAAATTCTAAGTACATAGGTGTCCATGAATCTGTTGCCATGTTCTTGAATACAATTGCGCATGGTCAGTGTAATAGGATGATTCAAGAAAGGTTTCAGCGTTTAGGAGAAACTGTCAGTCAGTATTTTCATAGAGTGTTGGATGCTTGCCTCAATTTATCTCGAGAAAATATCAAGCCCACTGATCCTACATTCTCCTATTGCCACCCAAAAGTAGCAAATGATCCACGATACTTCCCATTTTTTAAGGATGCAATTGGCACAATTGATGGCACCCACATAAAATGTCAGGTTAGTCAAGCTAGGCAAGACAAATATTTTGGGAGGAAGGGATTTCTGAGTCAGAATTTCATGGCCGTATGCGATTGGGATATGTGCTTCACGTTCATGTTGGCGGGCTGGGAAGGTAGTGCACATGATGCTCGTGTCTTTAAATATGCTATTTCAACTCCATCCATGAATTTTCCTCATCCACCTAAAGGTATATTTCTGTAAATTTCAAATCAATTATTTTAAAATTAAGCTTCAATTGTATTATTTTCACCTCAACATAATTGAATCATGATTTTCTAGGCAAATTTTATTTGGTTGATGCTGGTTATTCATCACAAGTGGGATATCTTGGCCCGTACAGACGTGAGCGCTATCACCTTCTAGACTTTAATCGTCAGCTAGGATTTAGAAATGAGAATGAGGCCTTCAATTATTATCATTCAAGTTTGAGATGCACTATTGAAAGAACTTTTGGGGTTTGGAAGAATAGGTTTGCAATCTTAAGAGACATGCCCAGATTCAAGTTTCAAGCACAGGTCCGCATAGTTTGTGCAACAATGGCTGTCCATAATTTTATCAGGCAAAATTCTCCAACTGATGACCGCTTTATACAAGCTGAGCGTGGAAGTATAATAGATGAAGACAATAATCATCCAGCTGGTGAGGCATCCTCGTCAAGTTTAATATCTGCCACACAAATGAATCGTGTTCGTGACTCAATTAGAGACCAAATTGTGCAAAGCTTACGATCTAATTAGTTATGTGATTTTATTTACTTTAATTAGAGACGAAATGAATTTTAATTTAATTTATGTTTATGTTTGTCCATTATATATATTTAATTAAGTACGATCTGATTACTTGTGTAATTTTATTTACTCTAATTAGAGACGAAATGAATTTTAATTTATGTTCATGTTTGTCCATTATATATATTTAATTAATTATCTAAAATGTGTTTTTAAATTTGTCTTGGTAACAAATATTTTTATTTTATAATCTCACAAATAAACTATTTTTATTTTATCATAATAATTTTAGATATTTTTTTAACAATTATCACATTAAAAATATCAAACACTACTATTCAATAAAGTATATATCCTTTTCAGTCATTTTACAACTGAACTAATTTTTCTATTCATCCAAACAACTTTTAACTTTTCCAACTGACTTTTTAAAAGTACCTATCCAAACATACCATAACTGACTTTTACTCTAACTTCAGTTACAAAAGTCAGTTGGATTAGAAGTCAGTTTTGCCCAACGCCAATCCAAACATACCCTAAGTCGTTCATACCAAGCTCTAGGAGCTTGCTTTAAACCATATAAAGCCTTTTTCAGTTTATAAACGTGATCAGGAAAATTTGAATCTTTAAAACCAGGGGGTTGTTCGATAAAGACTTCTTCTGAAATATAACCATTTAAAAATGCACTTTTAACATCCATTTGATACAATTTGAAGTCTTTAATGCAAGCAAACGCTAAAAGTACTCGTATTGCTTCCAGTCTGGCTACTGGAGCATATGTTTCTTCATAATCAATACCTTCTTCTTGATTATAACCTTTAGCTACCAATCTGGCTTTGTTTCTGATGATTTGTGCAGATTCATCGAGCTTATTTTTGAATACCCATTTGGTGTCTATAACCGGATGATCATTAGGTCTGGGTACCAATTCCCAAACTTGATTTCTCTCAAATTGGTTAAGCTCTTCCTGCATTAGGACTATCCAAAATTCGTCGGATAGTGCCTCGTCAACATTGGTAGGTTCAATATGAGATATGAATACAGAGAAACGCACTTCATTGAATACTTGTCTCCGGGTTTTAACCCCTTCATTGACTTTGCAAATGACTTGTTCCAGTGGATGATCTCGGTTGTGTCTCCAGGCCTTAGGCTGCTCTAAATTTTCTTGTGAAGATGGTTCATTTAGATCATCTTTGTTTTCTGAAAAGGTTTCTGAAGGTAATTTGTTTGAAGACTTGTTTAAATCTAATTTTTGAAAATTTTGAACGATCTCAACATCATCATCTAGAGGTTTTGAAATTGGTTCGGTTTTAGCAAACACAACATGAATTGATTCCTCAATTGTAAAAGTATGTTTGTTGAAAACTCTATAAGCTTTACTACGATTAGAGTAACCAAGAAATAGACCTTCATTAGCTTTAGGATCGAATTTACCCAAGTTTTCTTTGTTGTTGTTGTGAATGTAGCACTTACTCCCGAAGATCCTTAAATGAGCCAAGTTAGGCTTTCTCCCTTTGTATAGCTCATATGGCGTCTTCCCGAGTAAAGTTTTGATGTAGGCTCTATTGGAGATATAGCAAGCCGTGCTCATTGCCTCTGCCCAGAATACTTGTGAAACTCCTTTTTCATTCAGCATTGCCCTTGCCATTTCTGTGAGCACTCTGTTTTTCCGTTCGACTACTCCATTTTGTTGAGGAGTTCTTGGTGCTAAAAAATTATGGTCAATTCCATTCTCATCACAGTAGTCGGCAAATTCGTTATTTTCAAATTCTCCTCCGTGATCAGACCTGATTGACACAATGGAAATACCTTTCTTATTTTGGACCTTTTTGGCAAAAACAATGAATGCACTAAACATTTCATCTTTAGAGGAAAGAAACAAAGTCCAAGTGAATCTTGAATAGTCATCAACTATCACAAAAGTGTACAGGTTTCCACCGAAACTTTTCACTCTCGATGGACCAACCAAATCCATATGGAGCATTTGGAGTGGCCTTTCGGTTGAGATTGTCTTCTTTGATTTAAATGAAGACTTTGTTTGTTTACCTTTCTGATAGGCATCACAACTAATATCATGTTCATACTGAATTTTCGGTAAACCGACAACTAAATCCCTTTTTGTTAATTTTGAAAGTTGATTCATGTTAACATGTGCAAGACGTTTATGCCAAATCTAACTTTCCTCCTTTTTACTAATAAAACAGTTTTCAGAGGATTTAGAGTCAATTTGAAGTGTATAACAGTTACTGTCCCTTGGAGCTCTCAGCTTTATATTCAACTGCTCTTTCTTCAAAGGTAGGTCGTCTTTGCTTATTACTATGCATTCTTCAGAATCGAAGATCACCCAGTTGTTTTTATCCGTACTCTGACTAACGCTGAGTAGATTGTGGCACAGACCTTCCACGTAGTATACATCCTTAACTTTCATGCCTTTGTCACTTCCTACCTCTCCTATTCCAGCAATTCTTCCGGATTGATTGCCTCCAAAACTTACTTTGCCTCCGTCTTTTGGTTTGAGAGTCGTGAACTTCTCAGTATCACCCGTCATATGTCTGGAGCATCCACTGTCGACGTACCATTTGTTCGTTCTGGATGCTTTGAGGCATACCTGCAAAAACACAATCATGTTTTAGGTACGCATATCTTCTTGGGTCCTTTTTGGTTAGTATGAGTTGTCCTAGGCACATAAGTACCTTTGGGTACCCATTTTAATGTCCCGTAAGTTCCTTTCTTCTTGTGATAACAAGAAGAGGTTGAATGACCTTTACGGTTGTAGTAAGAACATAGTGCAAACGGATTAGAAGAATGAATAGTATTTCTAAAGTATGTAAGATACGATCTACCACTACTCTTCTTCTTTCCCTTCGACTTATCCTGAGTAGGATCATATCCTATACCAGTTTTATCCATCGAACATCATTGAGCTCCTAGGATTACTTTGAGCATTTCACTTCCCTTAGTGAATTTCTCTAGAGTTCTTGTGAGATCCTCAGCTTTCTTTTTATTCTTTTCGCATTCCTTGCATACTGGAGGCAGGTCTACGTTGTCTTCAGGCTTTGTCCGTTGCTCCTCTAGAACCTTTATTCTTTTCTTGGAGCTTACCAACTCCTTAGTAATTCTTACTAATTCTAAATGTAATGCATTGTATTCGGACTGTAATTCATCATAAGATGGTTCAGAAATGATTACCTCATCTATCTTTGATTCTTCGTTTTCTTGGGCCACGAGACAGATGTTAGCGGTTTCTTCATCATCACTTTCTTCTTCCTCCTCTGAAGAGCTATCTCCCCAGATTGATGTGATGAAGGCTTTCTTCTTTCTAAATCTTTCTTTCTTCTTTTCTTTATCCTTCATTCTAGATAGTTGGGGACACTCTGCCTTGATATGTCCTGGCTTCTTGCATTCGAAGCAGATGATTGGTTCCTTTGATTCATTCTAAGATGTTAAGGCTTTGCATTTTGGCTGGAACTTCTTTCCAGCTCTGTTCTTGTAGAATTTCTTGAACCTTCTAACTATAAGGCCCATTTCATCATCCTCAAGATCATCTTCATTGTCATCTTCACTCTTTTGTGTTCTAAGAGCGATGCTTTTGTGGTTCTTCTCGTTCATCTCTTTTTTGTATTTTTGCTTACTCTCATATTTAGCAAGGCTTCCGAACAGCGCTGCAACAAAGCCAATAGATTCTCCTTTGGTTTCTTCAATTGCTGTCACTTGCGGTTCCCATTCTTTTGTGAGACCGCTAAGTATTTTCCTTACTTGATCTTCCTGACTGTATTTCTTTCCAAGTGCCGTGAGGTGGTTTATGAGATGTGAGAATCTAACCTCCATGTCTCGGATACTCTCTCCATCCTTCATTCTGAATAGCTTGAATTCAGTGGTGAGAGTGTTGATTTTGCTCTGTTTTACACCGGTGGTTCCTTCATGAGCTATCTCCAGGGCTTCCTATATTTCCTTTGCAGTCTCCAGGCTAGAAACTCTGAAGTATTCTTTTTGGCTTAGCACACAGGTGAGTATGTTGATGGCTTTGTCGTTTAGGGTCACCAGCTTCTTGTCTTCTTCGTCGAACTCTCTGGGACTCTTGCGTATTTGCTGTCCATCTACGGTTTTCATAGGGACATAGTTGTCGTGCTCTATCACATCCCATAATCCATATTCGGTGGCTTTAATGAAGATTTTCATCCTCATTTTCCAAAATGTATAGTTTTCACCATTAAAGCCTGGCGGTTTGGACGTTGAACACCCATCCCGTAGCACACTATCTCCGAATCCTGCCATGAGATCTCTCTTCTGACTGTTAAGTCTTTTCTGAAGAGACCTACTCTGATACCAAATGTTAGTGGCAGTCTTACCCAAGAGGGGGTGAATTGGGTGAGTTAAAAAAATTGCGGAATTAAAAATAAATACTATCAAAAACAGAGAGTGTAAGTTTAGGAAGATTTTACCGTAGAGAGACAAACACAAGGTTTATACTGGTTCGGTTTTAACCACTTGACCTACGTCTAGTCCTTAGAACACCTCTGAGTATTTTACTATCTTCCAAGATTGATCGGGCTCTTGGCGCCTCAGTATAGTAATTGATTCACTCAATCACTCCCCCTTACTTCCCGTAAGGTTACAAACCCACCCAAGAGTCCACACTCTTGAGTATCACAATAATGTAATCAATGATGAGTGAGTAATCTCTCTTACAGAGTGTATAGATGATAAACACTGACGCTCAGTAAAATTGAAAGAATAGAGTATTGAATGCAATAGTAAATTATCGCAGATGGTAGCTCGCGTATTCAATTTCGTTCATTAATGCTTCTTCGCGCCTTTTATAGTTGAGGTTGTTAAGTAATCATTAGACGGAAGAGCTTCCAGCCATTGTGACTCCGTTTGCGTGTTTTCCCAGTTACAACGGTTCCGCCATTAATGCTTCTGGGCTTCTGACACAGTAGGTTACAGGCTACGTAATCAACTATTGAAGAGCCGTTGTGATTTCTCTTCGTAATCTGCAATAACACTTTTAACTTCAATAAGTTAATCTTTGC